GGTTGTCTCTTGAGGGACAAGCCCCTGGATTGCTTGGCTCTGATAACAAATGGGGCTCACACTGAAAAATCCCACAGAGCTGTAACAAACAAAGAAGAAGTTCTTAATGGGCTCACGAGCAACGCTCTCCTCTCCTACACAACCAGGCCCAGTGCAGAGGAAGCAAGCAAAAATGCCCATCCACCAGTTTCTCCCTGGAAGGGGCCTAAATACATATTTTCCCTGTTGCTGTCTGATGACCTAGCTTGCATCTGGGCACTGACTGTGATCCTTCTCTTTAGGACACTGATGGTTTTGGCATGGCCTCAATTACTGGGAGCCACTAAGAATAAATAAGGTCGCTTGGGTGATCGCAAAGGACATTCAGGAGTATAGGCTGGGATTATTGATGAGGTTCATCTCCTATAATGAGACCACTCTACCAAGACTAGGAGAGGTATCTATTTCATCGAATGCACAGAAACCCATAAGGAGAGTCAAGGAAAATGAAAAAACACAGGAATATGATCCAAACAAAAGAACAAGATAAAACTCCAGAAACAGATCTTAATGAAATGGGGATAAACAAGTAACTAACCTGATAGAGAGTTCAAAATAACAGTCATAAAGATGCTCCCCAAGATCAGGAGAACAATACATGAACAAAGTGAGAATCTCAACAAAGAGACAGAAAATATTAAAAGTACCAAAAAGAAATCACAGAACTGAAGAATACAATAATTTAGCTGAAAAACTCAAGAGAGAGTTTCAATAGCAGGCTAGATCAAGTGGAAGGAAAGATTAGCAAAGACAGGGCAGTAGAATTCATTTAATCAGAGGAGAAAAAGAAAAAAGAATGAAAAAGATTGAAGATAGTTTAAGGGTTTATGGGACACCAACAAGTGGACCAATATACACATTATATAGGCCCCAGAAGAAGAAAGAGAGAAATGGGCAGAAAGCTTATTAAAATAATAAGAACAACAATAATAATAACAGCTGTAAATTTACCTAATCTAGGGAAAGAAACAGGCATTCAGATCCAGGAAGCCAAATAAGTTCCAAAAGAGATGAATCCCAAAAGACCATACCAAGCACATCATAATTGAATTGTCAGAAGTTGAAGACAGGGAGAGAATCTTAAAAGAGTAAGAAAAAGAACTTGCTATCCACAATGGAACCCCTATAAGACCATTAGCAAATTTTTCATCAGAGACTTTGCAAGTCAGAAGAGAGTGGCATGATATATATATATATATATATTCAAAGTGCTGAAAGGAAGGAAGGGAGGGAGGGAGGGAGGGAGGGAGGGAGGAAGGAAGGAAGGAAGGAAGGAAGGAAGGAAGGAAAAAAACCCCTGCCAACCAAGAATATTCAACCCAGCAAAGTTGCCCTTCAAAATTGAAGGGAAGATAGTTTTTCAGACAAGTAAAAGCTGAAGGAGTTTATCACCAGTACTAGATGAGCCTTATAATGAACATTAACGGGATTTCTTTAAGCTGAAATGAAAGGATGATAATAAGTAACAGGAAATTATGTGAAACTATAAAACTGGTAAGGTAAATATATAGTTAAATTCAGAATACTCTAATGTTTCACGGTGGTGGTAAATCTTGAGATTTCTTTTGTAAAGCTAGTAAAGAGCAATTGTGAAAGGAAAGGTAGGAAAGGAGAATCTGCTTGACCACAAAGCCTTTTGCATTTTAGTAATAAGTACTTCCAGCAGTTGAGAATGTGGAAATTGACTTCCTTGAAACTATAACTGTCTACCATTTAGAACATCTTCATTTACTTATACGTATCCCATTTGAGGACTACTCTCCTATCCAATACTTCAATTCCTTTTGCAATATCCCCCATTGTGCTCATCCAGGTTTTGTTTGAAGGCGTCCCAGTTGGAGAGCTACTTCATGAGGAAATGTGTTCCATTTTTAGATGTAGCTACTTAAAATTATTCTTTAAATATCTTCTTTGAGTTAAGCCAGAATCTACTTTATAATTCCCATAACAGTATACTATATATAGTATACTGATGTATCCCATTATTTTTCTCTCTTAAGGTCTTTTACATATTTGAAGATGGCTTTCATGTTTTCCTGAAATTTTCTTCAGGTTGGAAATCTCTATCCCTCTTACGTATTCAAGTAAGATAATTTCAAGTTCACTTATCATCCTGGACATTTTTCTTTGGAATGGTACCCTTTTCTGAATGATCCTCTTAAAATCTGGGGTCCAGCATTGAACCTAGTATTCTAAATGTGATCTGACCAGTCTAAATAGTGTGGGACTATCACCTCTCTTGTTCTGCACACTGTAATTCATTTATCATAGCTTAGGTTTATATTTACTTTTTGTCTTGACAGCTCTATTATACTGTTAACTCTTAATGAACTTAAGGCCAAGTATAATTTTTTTTTCTTAAGTAGGCTTCACATGGGGCTTGAACTCACAACCCTGAATTCAAGACCTGAGCTGAGATCAAGAGTCAAACGTTTAACCAACTGAGCCACCCAGGCACCCAGGCCAAGTAAAATTCTAAGCTCTCTTTCCCTGATTCTGTAAAACTATTTTCTAGATACAAGGGTAAGACTTCAAATAACCTTGTCCACCTTTTTTGTTGTTGTTGTTAAATGTTTCAGTGACTTCTATTGAAATCTCTTAAACTCCTGATCTTAAAATAACCCAATGAAGCTATTCATCTTGATTTTATGCCATCTAAAAACTGTTAGATTTGCCATCAATGATTATTGAAGTTATCAATAACACAGTGAGGACAGAGCCATGCATCACACAAATAGACATCCTTTGCTGACTCACATGATATTTTTGTATTATTACAGTCATATTATACCATAAAAAAGCACTCTCTGAGAAAGTATTTTCAATACTGAAACTGCCCCACTGAATTACCATTCGGCCTATCTTAGTTTAAGCATTATCCTTGAAAGGTTTGTATACCTTCTAGGTAAACGGTGAGCTCTGTTCCTGAGAATTCTAACTTTGCTTCTAGTTGCCATGGACACTGTATTGACTATGACAATGTTTCTGCCCTCTTGGTGCTTAAATTCTATTAGGTAAACAATAAACAAGTAGGCAAAAAGCAAGATAACTTCTAAAAGTGATTAAGTGACATGAAGAAAATTAAATAGGTTAGTGGAATAGAGTCACAGGGTGGTTGTTTTAAGTCAAATGGTTACAGAAGGCTTCCTTTAGATGACTTTTAAGAGGGACTTAAATGAGCAGAAATAGTCAGCCTTGCAAAGATCAGGAATAAGAACGAAGAGAAAAGGTCAAGGTGACTAGGAAGAGTATATATAAACACACCTGTTCTAGCTATTGTGCAATCCTACTTTCTTTAGTTGTCTAACCATTCTCAAATTTCTCAGAAAGATACACTAGTACCAGTAGCCAACGATTGACTTACAACCCTACAGTTATAGCTCTGGACTAATATAACCTACTCTGGAGGTTGGGGTTGGGGGCTAAGGTGGGTGGCTATACTAGTCCTTAAAGACTAATGAGAAATCACAAGCCACCATGGCTACCTCTATTCAGTGGTCATAACAATCCCAAATTCTATATAACTTTTTAAAGAACATATTGTTGATCACAGCAGAACAGGAAAAGAGTGAAGAATTAATGCAAATGAACAATTACTGGAAACACCAGTCAAAAAAAGTATGCTCTGCACTCAAGAACCACATAAGCAAAGGCTTACTGCTTTCAGAGATATGTGGAAAATCTGAGGATATGTTTGGGGAACATAAGATAATTCTCTTTAGCTATAGCACAGGACATATGAAGATTACCAAGACAAGATATGAACATAGGTTGGGGAAATATCACTGAACACTTTTTATGCCAAGCAGTTGAACTTGATTCGGTATGAAACTGAGAGCCACTGCAAGTTTTCCGAGAGTAGGAGTGACCGATCCAGAAGCTCAGTGGAGAACACAGATGAGGAATGGGGAGCCTGTAGAAAGTCATTCTAATAATCCAGTTAAGAAGTAATGACTGCTTGGGGCACCTCGGTGGCTCAGTTGGTTAAGCATCCCCCTCTTGATTTCAGCCCAGGTCACAATCTCAGGGTCATGAAACTGAGCTCAGCACAGAGTCTGCTTGAGATTCTCTCTCCCTGCTTCTCTGCCCCTCCCCACCCATGCTCTCTTTCTCAAAAAAAAAGTAAAGCTGGATTTTACTGGTGTAGAATTGCATGGGATTGAATACAAGAGACAGAGGAGAAGAGGTCAAAAAGACCAGAGGACTAATTAATAGTTAACAAGAGTGGGAAAAGAGAAGCTACTGAAGATGACCATGAGGCTTTAGGCCTGATTAGACAAGAAATGAGGAAGCAGGAGATGGTGGACATGAGCAGAACAGACTCAAAACAATGCAGGAGGACGTGCTCTGGTCTCATCCTTGCGATACTGTGTGAACTTGGGCAAACTCACTTTAACTTAGTGTCTATATTTACATTATATGCTGGTGGCAGAGGGCAGTCGAAATAGATTACCTCAAATCTCCTTTCCAGACAATTCTGAGATTTTTAGAATGTGGTTGTGAAATCTCTTAGACTGTAAACAGCTTTAAGGCAGGGATTGATTAACTTCTTTTGTCTAGCATATCAGCTTTATTTTGCTTATAAAAATAAATAAATTAGTAGATATATATGGACTTTCTAAAACATTTAAAATTAATAGAAAAATGTAAATACATCTGTTTCCTCTCGACTTTCTAATACTGCGTATGTACTTGTCTCTGCGTATGTTTACAGAACTCTGGGATTTCACTAGTTTTGTAGCCAGTTTTTCAACATTATAGAATGAGTAATTTTCTATAGATCCTTAAACATTTAAAGCCATATTTTCTTAGTAGCTTCATTAAGAAGTTTGGATAGCCATAATCAAATCAGCTAAATCCCCTGTTGGTTGTAGACGTCAACGTTTCTAATAACATTGAGGTAAGTACGTTTTTATGTAAATGTTAATGTATTTCTATCTATTATTTTCCCAAGATAAATGTCTAGACTTGGTATGTCTCATTTAAAGGACACAGTTTTAGGGCTTTACATATATTATCAAACTGTACTCCAGTTTGCTCACTATTTATATTTTGTCCTGCGCATTTTGTAGCATACAAGCTGTAAATAACTATGTATTTAATGTTTTTCTGTTCAGCTCCAGCTTTTATTTTTATGTCTTTTTACAGGCTGTAATTCATCTATATTTTCTTGTCTTTTATCAGATATATGTAATATTGATCCATCACCAATTTGATGTATGGTAATTTTTATGACGGGGACATAAAGTAAAACTAATCTTTAAATGTTTACATTGTCTACCATTGTCAACTTTCTTAGCACTTCTCATAGCTACTCAGTTTCTCTAACCTTCCAGGTGATAATTTATCCACAATCTAGGGTAATTGAATTCTTTATTTTTTAATAGTTCATAGCTCCCAAGGCTTTTTGTTGTTTCACTGAGAATTTCCAGGACAATGCTGGGGGGAAATCAACCAGTGAGAATGGCCTGCAACCTTGTCTTGCTCATCTTTATATCCCTGAGAGCATTTGGAATGTGTTCTGACCTAGAAATAATTTACTGAACAGCTGAGTGATCTCAAGTTTTCTCCTGAACCAAACCACCGCAATCGTCACAGATCTGACACGCTGATGTTACTGTTCCCATTTCGCAGATGGAGAAACTGAGGCTCAGGGTTACAGGACAGCCACAGAGCTCGGGGCCAATCTGAGGACCAGCCCGGTATTCGCACGTGCTTCTGGAGGAGGGGAGCAGCCGCCTTCCGCGCCTCGCGGGTGCGAGCCCTCCCCGCGCACTGCCGGACTGGGGTGTCACGCCCGCAGCGACAACGGCCCGGGGTGGGGGGCGGTGCTCCCACGCTCCATCCTGCATCCCTGCCCCGCTCGGCGAGGCCAGGGGCGGCCAGGGTCCCCGGGACACCCGGGCGTGGCCCGCCCCCCCAACCGCGGCGCGCTCGCCTCCCGTCTGCCCCCTGCAGGCCGGCCGCCGGGGCTGCGCGCGGGCGGGGCGGGCCTGGAGCGCGGAGCCCGAGAGCGGGGCGCGGCCTCGCCGCGAGACCCCGGGCCATGGCGCGGGTGCTCATCGTGGGCGCCGGGCTGACGGGAAGCCTGTGCGCAGCGCTCATCAGGAAGGAGTTGCCCCGTCCTGTGCACCTCGCGGTGTGGGACGAGGCTGGGGACTCAGGTGGGTCGTCGGGCGGTCGAAACCTGGGAAAGGAAGCCGGCGCCTACGGGCGGCCCACCCCGGGAGGTCTGTGGGACAATCCAGCCACCGCGGCCGGCACCTCCCGGCGGCGACCTGCTGGGTGCGCGCCCGGTCACGTGCCCGGAGCCTCCAGATCCCCGGAAAGGCCCGAGGCGGGCGGGAGTGGGCGGTGACCCCGGCGCCGCGCGGGGAGCGGGGCGGTGGGAGGAGCCCCGCGGGGCAGGGAGGGAGGGGCAGGAGAAGGGGGGGAGCGGGGAGTGTGGGAAGATCCCCGCGCGGGGTCCGGAGCGGGAGGAGGGAGGAGGCCCGGGCAAGAGGAGTGGGGGTGGGTGGGCGGGGAGCGGGAGGAGCCCCGCGCGGGGTCAGGGAGGAGGGAGGAGCCCCGGGTAGGAGGAGGGGGGGCAGTGGGAGAGGGACCCCGGGTCAGGGTCCGGGAGGAGCGGGAGGAGCCCCGGGCAGGAGGAGTGGCGGGGGAGCGGGAGGAGCCCCGCGCGGGGTCAGGGAGGAGGGAGGAGGCCCGGGTAGGAGGAGGGGGGTCAGGGGAAGTGGGAAGATCCCCGCGCGGGGTCAGGAGCGGGAGGAGGGAGGAGGCCCGGGCAAGA